AGCAGAACAATAAATAAGATCTGGAAACAGCCCAAATGTCCACCAGTAGATGAGTGAATAAAAAAGCTATGGTACATTTACACCATGGAATATTTTTCAGCTGTAGAAAAGAAGGATCTCGCCCTTTAAGATGGCATGGAGGGACCTGGAGATTATTATGCAGAGCAAAATAAGCTAGTCAGAGAAAGACAAGTATCATACAATCTCACTCATATGTGGAATCTAATGAACAAAATAAACTGATGAACAAAATAGATCCAGAGACATAGAAACATGGAACAGACTGACGAATCTCAGAGGGAAGGCATGGGTTGGGGGCTGGGGTGGAGAGATTAACTCTGGGGACTTTTATGCATATATGCATAACCAATGAACACAAACAATAGTGTGGTGAAGGCCTGGGAGCTGGGGGGAAAGGGGGCAAATATGGGATGGAGGGGCTCAATAGAAAAAAGGGGAAACATCTATAATACTTTCAACAATAAAGATAAAATTAAATATAAATAAATAAAATGTAAGCTCCTTTGGACACAGGTGAATTGTACAGAAGAAAATAGAAGGATTATACATCCAATTTTATTTATTTTATTTTTTAATTTTTTTAAAATATATTTTATTGATTTTGTACAGAGAAGAAGGGAGAGAGATAGAGAGTTAGAAATATCGACGAGAGAGTCATCGATCAGCTGCCTCTTGCACACCCCCCACTGGGGATATGCCCGCAACCAAGGTACATGCCCTTGACCGGAATCGAACCTGGGACCCTTCAGTCCCCAAGCCGACGCTCTATCCATTGAGCCAAACCGGTCTCGGCTATACATCCAATTTTATATGGAGATGACATCAAACATTCTACCTGAGGTCCTTTATGAATGTGAAGTCCAAGGCAAACAGCTCTCAGAACCCTCGGAGTTCTCACATAGGCCTAGGAAGAAGGAATCCCTTCTCCCTATGCTAGGAAGACCTTGCCAAGCCCTGAAGTTTATGTGAATAATATTACAGCCCTCCACTGCTTAAAACTCATAAAGACCTTCTCTTCGTCCACAACAAAATCTCAGTCCTTTACTACGGTCTATAAAGCCTTACCTGCCTACCTGGGCTGGCAATCAGGACCAGTCTTCAGGGCAACCAGCAGGACGAGTGTGGAGGCCCTCACTGACACACGCCTTGGCCAGTCTGGTGCTACCCACTTGCCAGCCCCCACACGTAACAAAAGGAACGCACTATTCCATTGGACACTAGAAAGATGAAGGGAGTGGTTATAGGGTTAAGCCTCGGACTGATCTGCTAGCAAAGCCTCAAACAAGTCCCAGCTTAGAGGGCACAACCCTCTTAGCATAATTAAGCTTGACTTTAGGACACTCCCTAAATCCTTTCCCGGTAACTAATGGACTGTGGGAAGTGCAGCAAGTGCTGCCAAAACAAGTGAAACTCCCAAGAACATTGTAACTATGATGACCACTACCTTGTTTACCTCTGACTATAAAATAAAGCTCAGCTTGCCCTCTGATCTTTTCTGTGGTCTCAGCCAGGCATCGAAGATCCACCTAGACCAGTTTATTCTCTGTCTGTCTTTTCTTCATCCTTCGATGGCCCCCCTCAGTCTTGTTGAACCCTTAGTTGCACTGGCACAGGACAGAGAGGCACTTGAAGATACCACCAACCAGTATCTAGTGTAGGAAGAGAAACCCCCAAGATGACTAAGTTGGGCATTGAGGGCAGAAAATTCAGCAAGAAATTGGTTTGTGTGACTTTTGATGAAAACAGCATTACGGGGGAGAGCTGGAGCTCTCCCAGGTGAGTGGGTGCATCTGATATGCAAATGCACCCACTCACCTGGTGGGTGCACTTGCATATCAGACACTGTGGGTGTTTTCAATAAGATTTGCTTCCTTGTCATGTTTGGGTGGGGTGTGATAGAGATGGCTGACACAACCCCCATACCAGCTCTTGGGGCTGCTGTGAATTCAGCAGAAGTTGAGATAAGCTCAGAAAGGAGAGGGCATCAAAAAGCAAGAGGCACTATGAATCCAAAAGTGGCATCTTCACACTAATTTTTTTTAAAAATGTGTTAAACAGCAATATGTATCTTTAGAAATAAAAACAGAAGCAGAAGCCGAAACTGGTTTGGCTCAGTGGATAGAGTGTCGGTCTGCGGACTGAAAGGTCCCAGTTTCGATTCCCGTCAAGGGCATGTACCTTGGTTGCGGGCACATCTCCAGTAGGGGTGTGCAAGAGGCAGCTGATCGATGTTTCCCTCTCATCGATGTTTCTAACTCTCTAAACCCCTCTCTTCCTCTCTGTAAAAAAAATCAATAAAATAAAATAAAAAAATAAAAAAAAACCAACAATAAAAAAAAATTAAAAAACAGAAGCAGAAGCAGTGAAAATGAAGCTATTAGACTTTCTGAGGAAGTAGTTCTGAGCTGGGCCTTCCCCACCCAGCAGCTGGTGCAGGCCCACCCAACCCTGGACCCCATGCTGGCACTCCTGTGGGAAAGCTGAAGCTAGCCATTCCCCTGCTGCACTGTCTGCAGCCCCCTTATCTCACCACCTAAGAGATGGTTTCTTGTACAGCAGAAAAGCCACGGACTATGAGAGTAGGAAGACATCAAGTGGCCCTGTACGACTACTGTGTAAGCATGGTCATGTTTGTCACGCATGATAAACAAATTTGGTCATGCATCTCAGAAAGAGATCTTATGAGCTGTGAGCTCTTGGGCAGGCCAGTTAACATGTCTGACCCAGTCTTGTCTACTGTAAAGTTGGGATTCTAACTATGTGGCATTTGGAGTGGAACTGAGGAGGCAAATGAGATGTGAGTGAATTTTCCTCTCCCTCCTCCAGGCCTTTGCCATTAGACCTTTAGTCCAGAACACTGTTAGGTTCAGAGAGTTTAACCCTGAGAGAATGATATAAACAAGGACCAGAAAGTTTACTTGATGGGAGGAGAAAGAAAGCAATTCAAGTGTAAAGGCTGTTCTATCATTTTCCCTATACTTGTAGCATAACACCTCCTTTTTCTTACCGTTTGTACCTTTTGCCCTTTGTTTTCAGGGAAACTGTGATACTGCATTTTATTATAGGCTGGACTTTCCAATAGGACTACTCCCTAACTAGGCTGATTGCTTATTATTTCCTAGTGCTGTGAGTTCCTGAAACTTAGTAAGCAGTACATGCTTGGAAAAGAAGGGGGAGGGAGGAGAGAGAGAGAGACTGGCAAGAGTTCCATGAAATGGCATTGGTGTGGAAAGGAAATGAGCATAAGTGGATGCCTGGAGGGCTTCCTGGAAGAGGCAGTGCCTCATTGGCATACACCAGCACTGAAGGACAGGCCTGAAATATTTCAGTCAGAAATTGGAATAGTACTGGAGAAGGTGAGGAGTTCCCATAACTTACTCCTATGACAATTCAGCCTACCCAGGTCCTGGATACCATTATTGGTCAGTGTTCCAGACACATCTGGGGAAGAATCCTAGATCAGAAAGTTCATTTTTAAGCTGTTTGATATCCCTATCAGTGTAGGAAGTCTGGGGGCTAGCCCGGCTTCTCAGTACGTTAGCCCCTGCCCCTTTCCTGTGCTATGAGGATTAAGCCTTGAGCACCTGCCACACAGGCTGTGAGATGTTTGAGGGAAGATACCTTCTGAGTTTATCTCAGTAACTCAGTATCTCGGTGTTAAGCTGCCACTTATGAAATTTGACAAATTTGTTTATAAAATTTGTCAAATTCACCAATGCTCTTCCTATGTTTCAGTGGGTTTTGCAACCTTGCTCCTTTCTCCAGGAAAGAACACTTTGTCTTCCTGTGCAGAGCTACCTCATCCGTGCTCCCACACAGGTAGAATTTTAAATAAAAAATAAATACGAACTAAGAAAGTAACCAAAATGTAAGTCCTGTGCCACTCACAAAGCTACAGAAGTAAAAATGCAAAGTTCAGAGTCCCACCCACAACGACTTCTGTCTTGATTTTAAAGGGATTATTGTCTAAAAGGGAAACTCCCACCCCAAATGCTAGACTTACTTTTCCTTTCTAATCTAAACTGCAGCTACACAATCTCCACTTGTCTCCAAAACATCATTCACCTCACACCTGCCAGAATGATTATCATCAATAAGTCAGCAAACAAGTGTGAATGGAATGTTAAGAGAAGGGAGCCTTTGTGTGCTATTCGTGGGAATGCAGACTAGTGCAGCCACTGTGGAAAACAGTATGAAATTTCCTCAGAAAATTAAAAATGGAACTGCTATTTCACTCAGCAATTCCACCTCAGGGAACTTATCCTAAGAATCTCCAAGCACCAATCAGAATGAATATATGCACCCCTATGTTCACAGCAGCATTATTTACAACTAGAGGCCTGGTGCACGAATTCATGCATGGGTGGGGTTCCTTGGCCTGGCCAGCGATTGGGGCCAATCGGGGCCATTTCACCCAGTCCCAATTGGGGCTAATCAGGGCTGGCCGGCCAGAGAGTGGGACCATAGGAGATTGGCCGGCCCTGGGAGGTTGGCTGTGGAAATGCACTAACCACCAGGAGACAGCTCCTGCATTGAGCATTTGCCCCTGGTGGTCAGTGCACATAATAATGATCAGTCAACAGGTCGTTTGGTCAACTGGTCATAACAATCACTTAGGCTTTTATATATATAGACTAGAGGCCCAGTGCACAGAGGGTAGTGTGTCCCTCAGCCCATCCTGTACTTTTTCCAATCAGGGACCCCTTGAGGGATGTCCAACTGCCCATTAGGCCTGATCCTACCCTTAAGGGGATCTGGCCTAAATGGACAGTCAGACATCTCTCTCACAATCTAGGACTGCTGACTCCCAACTGCTTGCCTACCTGCTTTCCTGATTGCCCCTAACCACTTCAGCCTACCAGCCTGATCACCCCCTAACCACTCCCATGTCAGTCTGATTGATGCCTAACTGCTCCCTTGCCAGCCTGATTGCCCCTAACTGACCTCCCTTACAGGCCTGGTCACACCTAACTGCCCTC